AAAAAAAAAAAAAAAAAAAAAAAATCATGATATGCATGACAAAATAGATGAATCTCACAAGGTTACTTAAATGATAGAAGCCAGATAAGAAAGAATATTTTATGACTCCATTGACATGAATTTCAAGAACATGCAAAGCAACCCATCATGACAGAGCAGAGGCTGTCTATGGGGACTGACAGGAAAGGAGAATGAGGGTACTTTCAATACAATGAAAATGTTCCATATCTTGATTGCAGTGATGATTACACAGGTATATTCATTTATCAAACTCCACCTAATTATACAATTAAGATCTGTGCATTTCACTATATGTAAATCTTACCTAAATTAAAGAGAATAAGGGAAGTTAACATACTTTTTACAGTGAATAGCAGGATGTTTTCTACTTGATTCTCCAATTAAGATCCAATACTCTACTTCTTGTGGTGAGAGGGGACCCCTGCTAAATATAAAACAGATTAAAAGTAGGCTTAATAAAGGTCATTCACTCCCTTGAAAATATTGCTTCCGCTATGTTAATAAAAAATATACTAAAGTTATTCAAAGATGACATTCATTAATACTAGAATAGATAATTGGAGTTTAAGCTTGAACAAACTTCTTAAGACCATTAAAGAGAAAGCATAAATAAAACTTAGGTCTTGATCTCAATTATAAAATCTAGGGATAAAAAAAAAAAGAAAAAAAATGAAATATACCACCTCTTAGAATCTAAAAAGAAGAGAAAAAATCCTAGCATCCTACAAGCATTCTTCAGCTACTCCTCTCCTTTCACTGTGCATTTAGAAGTTTTCAAAAGGCATCCTAAAAATGAAACCCTAAAGTCAGATGCCTAAATCCCACTCCGGGAAATTCAAGTAGATCTAGAGGGATTTGCACAGTTGTAAAGGCATCTCAGGTGATGCTTAGGTACAGGCAGAGGTGTGGAACTCTCCCCTAATGGGTACAAAGTTGGACTACCTACTTTTTCATGTTTTATGTTTGATAGATGTCTGGAGTAAGGTGAAGCCTCAGGATGAAACCATAGAAGAAACAATATACCTCACCTCCAGAGAGATGAATAAAACATTTTAGGATTCGGAGAGATCAAGTACTTTCCCTCTTGTTCCTCATTCACAAAACTATAATGTCCAGCTTCCTGGTTCTCCCAGATCTCAGGATACTGCCCCAGCATCCCCCAACCCCACAGTGCCTTGAGAGGGACTCATGCTTGCATGGCCTCCAGCCTCAAAGAACCCATCCTATCCCCAGATGAGGAAGCCATGTTCTCCCTGCCTGACCTTCAGCCTTCACCAAAAGAAGAGAGCTGCCCTCTCCTCCTCCTCAATGACCGATGCTACCCACCCAGGACAACACTGATAAATTCCACATTTTTCACTAGGAGGAAAGAAGATGCTTCTTAATGTGCTCAGTTGGGACAGCTTTTTGACACAAGATCCCCTAACTCATTTTCCATGTGAACAATGGATGAAAACACAGTGACATAATACGTGAAGTCCTTTGCAATCATTTTGTAATAAAGGTAAAAGTGGTTTTTCAGATGTCTTTCATTGCACGAGTCTGAACAACAGCATCTAAGTGAATAATGTAAAAGCCCAATTAACCAAATGCAATTCTGCAAAAGAACTAGCTAAATATTTAGAGCATAGTCTAACTTGATGCAAATGAAAGAAATAATCAAGGCTTCCAATTTCTGAGTGACTAAATATTTCCTAAATGCTTTCTTTTTTTGGTGAGTTACCCACATAAAATATGGAAATGCTTCTCTCAGTGAGTTATCCACATAAAATATGGAAATCCTTACCTGAATGCTTTATTAGCTTTAACAGGGGTTGCTTCGAAGCCAATTGGACAAAAATAATGATTTTGGCAATGATAGATATAAGCCAGTGATTCATCTTTCAATCCATGAGTTAACTTCGACAAGGCCCCAGAAGCTACACAAAACAAAAGCAAACAAACTGAGGAACCATAAAGCACTGTGGACGCTTTACACAAATGACTAGCTAAGGACTGAAGGGAAGACATGACTTGGAAGACACTGACATTGCTGGGGGAAAAGGAGAAGATTTATAGATACACAAAAATATGAATAAATGTAGTTTCAGTTTTACCCTTTTGACTGAAATTCAGATAAACTGAATAGGAAACTTAAGACCTGAAATACATCCTTGCTTACCAAAATCTTCTAATAACACCTACTTGTCTACAGAATTTAATTACCACATAAAACCTAACACCTAGTGTGTACAACAATGGTCTCAACTTTTCTGGTTGTGCACATCTGTCATGGGAAATTTCTGAATCAACATGCCCATGAGAAGCATTTTTGTTTATGGATACTATGGTACTAATAGGACTTTATAGAAGACATACAAAAGGTAGGAATTTTGAAATTAAATTAAAATACTGACAATATAGGGGTGCCTGGGTGGCTCAGTTGGTTACGTGTCTGACTTCAGCTCAGGTCATGATCTCACGGTTTATGGGTTCGACACCCCCCCCCCCCCCCCCCCCCCCCCCGCATCAGGCTCTGTGCAGACAGCTCAGAGCCTGCAGTCTGCTTTGGATTCTGTGTCTCCCTCTCTCTCTGCCCCTCCCCCACTCACGCTCGCCTGCTCTCTCTGTCTCTTTCAAAGATGAACAAACTTTAAAAAAAGTTTTTTTTTAAAATAATGACATTCTATTATGTTCTTCTCATTCCACAGTGGTCATCTCACACAGCCCCAATAATGTATACGTCCCCAGTTTGAAGAGCACTGATGTTGATGGGTAGATAGTACACAGACTCCAAAAATGCAGACTTTCCCCGCTAATACACACTTTAATGTTTCTACAAAAGTTACCCAGACAGGAGGGACAGGTTTCTCAAGCCAAGTAATGAGATAAGAACATCTTTCGGACAGGCTGGTCATACCACAGACTCCTTCTTTTATATTTCCCACAGCTATATTAGTTGTGAAGTAATTTCAAAAGTAGTATCATAAGCAGTAAGTTTTTACCAGCACTCAATATTTAAAGCCATTGACTGAGGTCTCATTAACATGCATCTCCCGGAAGAAACTAAATTATTCATGAACAAATAGCCCATTAAAACTGGAAAGCCTAAAAATAGGTGAAGTAGATGAAAGCTTGCAATTTGTGGTTTCTCTAATTGACTTTCTGGCCACTGAGATGGTTGGAGACCACTAAAAACAGCAGGTCAATAGCTGTAGCACAGCTAAGAAGGCAGGACCCCACCCTACCCCTGTAGATACACACGATTTGTGGGCTCCATGGAGACAATAACATTTCTGGCTTAAATTCTTTCTCCAAGGCTTCATGTAGGTCTTTCCCATAGATTTTACTTCATGGCCAGAAGCACCAGAACGTACCTGTATGGCAAGGTGATCTTTTCCACTAAAATCTCTATTACATAATGACAAATGATAAATCTTTCTGCAGCTTTTGGTTGACCTCCCCTGACAATTTAAAATCTGACACCCAAGGGCAGCTCTAAATGAAGAACCATCAGAACTAAAATTCAGAAGAGGGTATGTCACTTCCTTCATTACAGATGGGTTCTAGGATAGTGAGCAAACATAAATGTATGCATTTAGTCTCCTAACAGATTCAATAATTACAAAAGATGGTGACACACATAGTTGGTTTAGAAAAAACTCTTCAAACCTTTCTTAAAATTGTGAAAATGCCCCATAAAAAATTTTCCGAAATGACTAAAAGTTTTAATGAAAAGAATTTTTATTTTAGCTTCTTAATGGCTATCTTTAAGTATTTCACATTATCCTTCTTTAAGTCGAATGTAACACAAAACACCTGTGAATAGTAATGAGTCTAATTTCCTAGAATATATTCAGGATTTCAGAAGCAAATGAGATAACTAAGAAAATTTGCTCTCATTAACCTTCACATCTTTTTGTCCACTGTAAACACTCTTTGACCATGTCCTCATTTTCTAGAAGACATGAGGTGATTTTTCTTCTGTAGCATAATGGTTATGGGCTTAGTGCTAGCCAGGGATGTTTCTGTTCCTTACCGCAAGGTTCTGATTGAGTTAGAGCAGGGATTAGCAAGCTTTTTCTTAAAGGGCCAGAGAGTAAATATTTGAGGTTTGTGGGTCATGAGCACTACTCATACTACTCAACTCTGCCATTGTAGCATGGAAACAGCCATAGGCAATGTGTAAGCAAATGGATATGGCTGTGTTCCAATCAAACTTTATTTACAAAAAGGACTGTAGTTTGATGACCTCTAATTTAGATCAGTAATTTTCAGACTTTTTTCCATATGGAACCCTGGTGCAAGGAACGTTGACATGGCATACTAGTGCATAAAAAAAGCCAAAAGCAAATTGCTGTGGCCAAAAAGGAGGTAGGGAATCTAGATCCCAAGTTCTCCCCTGACCCTGCACCAAGGCACCACCATAGAATTCCCATGGCTCACCTGAGCACAATCTGAAAATCACCATATTTCCTGTCAATGGAAGACCCAGCTCTTGAAAAAGAGGTTGGATAATGCCTCTTTAGAAAGACCACAGCAATAGTTCTCAAGCTTGACACACAGGACTTGTTAAACACCTGATGGCTGGTACCCAACCCCAGAGTGTCTGAGCCAGCAGGTCTGGAGCGGGGACCAAGAATTAGTATGTCTAACAAGTTGCACAGGTGATGCTGATGTTGGCATTCTGAGAACTGGCCTAGAGTTAAAGGAAAATTTCATTTAATTCAATTCAGTAAGCAATTTCTGAGCACCTACTAAGTATACCAGGAACCGCAGGCAAACAAAAGGCAAGTGATACACCTGAAGCTACCCTCAGAGGGAAGATAAAACAAGTAACCTTAATATAGAGTGGGATAAGACAGAGCCACAGAAAAGGGTTGTAATTCAAAGGAGGAAGAGCACATCAGGTTTCAAGAATCAAGAAAGGGAACATTCAAGACAGAACTTCACCAAGTGGTAGGATTTCAGCAATCCAGACAGAGGAACAGGCATGAGGAAAAAACAAAGTCTTTACAGGGGAGGGATGTAATTAGGGAACAGCAAGTCGTCTACTTTAGAATCTAGGGTGTGATAGCGTAGCAAGGCCTACCGTACAGCACCCCAAGAATTTCAGGACAAGGTCAGAAAAATGTCACCCTCTGAAATAAAAAGACAGTAAATGCAGTATTTACTACACTGAGGTAGTCATCTGAAGACGTAACTTCCAGTCAGGAGAAGACATATCAATGTATTACTGATGGAAACTAAATTCAGAACGATGTTCAGCCTAGACCAGAGAATTTCTAAAAAAATCTGACACTTAAGTAACAAAGCAATCACTTCCAAGTGCAGGACCATGATCTGTATGGCACACAGAAGAAGAAAAGAACTAGGAGAATCAGCTGGCCAGCTGAACGGTGAGGAGATTTCCTGAGCTGCAGACAAGAGAATTCCGGTGCCTTGGTTTATTATATCTCTCACTGTAAGTTAATATATAAATAGTCTGGGTTTTTTTCGTTTCTTTAGCGTGAATCTGTTCTATACAGGTTGATTGATCATCTATAGGAAAACTGTAGAGAAGTCTAGAAGAATACATCAGAATGTATTTTACACGTTGAAAGACAAGAACCAGGGGGTGCCTGGGTGGCTCAGTCGGTTAAGCGTCCATCTTCAGCTCAGGTCATGATCTCACGGTTTGTGAGTTTGAGTCCCAATTCAGGCTCTCTGCCATCGGCACAGAGCCTGCTTTGGATCCTCTGTCCCCCTCCCCCCTTTCCCCTTCCCCCGCTT